TCTTTCTTTCTTTCTTTCTTTTCCTTTCTTTCTTTCTTTCTTTTCTTTCTTTCTTTTCTTTCTTTCTTTATGAACAGGCTTTTTTTATTGCTGTGTACTAAAAGTATTTTCGTTTTTTTATGGTCTTGTATTTTTCCAAGATTACGCCATGATACTTTTCGTCCTAATGCTTCTGAGAATGTTCAACTCTTAGTTGTTGGGTTCCGTTTCAGAATGCCGAGGCTAATCCAGAATAGCAAACTATTGGTCAGAAGTCCCTGTAGGCGTGGAATTCTGAAAGTGATGGATTGCCTTTGTTTAAGTTTTAGATATAAGATTAAAAATCTGCAACGACAGGAAGATGGCAGCAAAGGTTTAAAGAGTCAACACGCCCCCTCCCGCAACCTAATTCCTTAGTGAGGCAAGCTTTGCACGTGACGATGAGATCCTAGACTCTCCCCCTCGCTTCCTCTTATAAACGATTCTGTTGTTACTGTCGCCTATATAATGAAGCGGGATTAAATTAATGAAAATTGTCTGTCGTAAATGCAGTCTATGGTGTAGAGAAACGAAACGCAACAGTTCTCCTTTAATTTTTCTAGTTCATTATTAGTCTGTCTATTAGTCTATGTTGTTCCATAATTTTCAATGCCAAATTCTTAATGACATAAGAGGGAACGAATAATTTTATTTTTATTTTATCTTATTTTTTTTAAAAAGTTTGGAGCTGCGTATTTAGCGTTTGCAAAGCCCGGGTCGGTCGTAGAATTTGCCATCTCTCTAAAGCACAGTCTAAAATTGAATATCTACTTGGTGTAAAAAAAAATGTTACTTTGTTATACGAGTCACTTAAATGCCGACCAACAAAACTTGTAAAACAGATCGCTTCTTTTATATGCCGTGTCCCTTCAGGACGTAGGCGACCATGGCTCTCCACTTCTTCCTATTCCTTGTAGTTCTCAATATGTTTTCTCCTTTTGCTTCTTCTCCCAAACCCTGTTCCGTCATCCATTTGCTTAGGCCCGCTGGGTATGTCACGCTTTGCTTTGCCTTGTCTTTCTTTCCCTCAATCCGTCCTATGAGTATCTGATTCTCCAAGCCCTCCTTTCTCATTACATGTCCAAAAAATTTCAGCTGCCTCTGCCAGATGTTAATTATAAGCCTCCTCGTTGTTAGCATCCTCCCAAAAACATCATCGTTGCTCACGTTCGGTCCATGATATCCTTAGCATTCTTTTGTAGAACAGACCTCTACTCATCATTAAAAAAACTCCATTTTTTATGGAGTTTCTTTTTTTTTTTAGTCAATCAGGGCAGTTGGAAGATTTTTTGACAGAGAAAACTTCTTACTGATTAATCTATAAGAGACAACCATTAAATATCTTTTAGATTTTTCCTGTTACTGTATTCCTCTTTGGCCATTTTTTTTTCTTTTCTTTTGTTACTTTTTATTCTTTACGAGGTATATTATTTGTTGTAATGGAATTTCCCACATTCCCTATCGCCTATGTGGACTGACTATATCAATAGCTATATATAGTGAACACAGAATATACCTGGGAGAATGCTTCGGAAATTATTAGCCTGCCACCCGATTTCATTTCTCTTTTACAATACACCTCACTTTTTTTCATCTACGCGCGTGTTGCTGTTCCTTTCACTCGAGTACCACCTTTGTCTGTTTGTAACCTCTTTAAGGATACAACAGCTTGTTTACACGTAGTAAGTGTAGCGGACGTTGTCAGTTTACGTTACCGGGTTTTTATTTTTATTTTTAAATAATCCATTGTTTTTTTAATAATTTTTTTTTTCCTTTTTCTTCACAATCCTTAGATTATTTTACACTGCAATTTAAAACAACAAAAATAACACAAAAAATAGTCTAAAACTTCATAAATCTAATTAAAAATCACAGATTTAACATTAATGCATTTACATGATGCACTAATGTTCAGGTCGTTGTCGACTTACGATGGGTGGGTCTATAATTAATTTTACATTGTTTTTATCTTTCTTTACGCATTATTTTCTTTTTTTTTAAATTTTTACGGTGTCTTTACGTTGGATCCCATTTGAATATTGTTAATACATATTGTGCGTTTCTTATTTTTACGTGCGTGAAGGTTAATTTAAACACTGCATACAAAGGTTGGTTTAATTTGTGCTAAACATACGAAAAAGAGACAAGTACACAAAAAAATTATTTATAGCTGAATTTTTACACGCGCACACACGGAGACACACACACACAGATAGATAGATAGATAGATAGATAGATAGATAGAAGTTTTGGATAAACGGATGTCTGGCATTCGAGTATAGTGTCCGGCCCATCGAAGTCGGTGACGAAACATGATGGTTTCTAGGCCCTTCATCTCATATATATATATATATATATATATATATATATATATAATTTATTTAAAAATTATAAGAAAAAAAATGTTATAAAATCTCTACAAAAATAGCCATTTTGTTTCAGCACTTCTGGTGTTTTATGCCATTCAACCCTATCACTTGATAAGACACCAGAAATGGCTATTTTTGTAGTAATTTTATAACATATTTATGTTATAATGTTCGAATTAATTATATTTGCTCTACTCTGTATTGAGTACTCCTTTTAAGAATAGTCTTTTTGGTTTTTGGAATTCCTTCAGTATACACCAAGCCATGCTTATATATATATAAAAAAAATTTACCAAATTACATACAAATACAAGAAGAAATTTTTTGAAGAAAAATTTAAGACACGAACGGAAAATGTGTTGTACCGACGCTTCCCTAACACTGAGCTTGAGGCACGCGACGGAATATTAGTATTGCCTGCAACTGGGGCGGAAATTGTCAGACACCAAGCTGGGAAACGCTTACCCCTCAGTCGTGGCAAGACATTCAGACATACCAATTCGCAGTCGTAAAATCGAAAAGTAAGTAGCAAACGTCATAAGTTGACGAAAATTAAAAAATGGGATTTCTAATAATTATCAAGTTTTTATACTAGTTTTGAAATCGATATTTGCATGGGTTAGTTTAGGCTGTCACATGGTCCACAAGTTTTGGAAAACCCGCCGAGTTTGTAATTTGTCAACAATACGAACTTGTTAACCATTACTAAGCAACGAAATATAAATATGTATTTCACCGCTATGAACTAAGTGGTAACCAAAGGCGAGTACTAGAAAACTGCGTCTAGAATTAGTCAGTTATTTCTTTTATAGGCGATTTTAATGAGGAATACTTGCAAGGAGGGAATTTAGTTTCATCATTAGCTTTCGTTAGAAAAACAAACACAATATTCCATCATCTGCCACAGACTTTTAAACAGGAAGGCCAAACCTTTCATTTTCGCACGGCATTGTTACAAGTGATGAAAAATGGGTTTTGCATGTCAAAATAAAACGAAAAACATTGGTCATCACAATTGAGGAAACCAGAGCTAACAGGATTTCCTTGCATTTAGTGTAATATGAAATACGTCGTTCATTACGAGCTTGTGGAACATGGAAGGAGCGTCTCCTAGACGAGTGTTTCCCACCCTTTTTTCAAGGAGCGCCGCCGCCTGTTAAATTAAATTTCGAATATTATACTGAATTCATAGCAAGATAACAGTTAGGAGTTAGTGCAAAATTACTTTTAATATTTTCTTTTCTATTATAAATTCCAATGATTAAAATGTTAAAAAAAAACTTTTATTTGATAGCTGATCTCAGTTTCCTCAGTGCTTACTGGATTTGGTGCTTACTGGCTAAGGATCTTACTCTAGGTTCATTTGATAACTTATATCAATGTTTTCAATGTGATGGTTGACTTTGGTGCTTACTGGCTAAGACTCTTACTCTAGGTTCCATGATGCTTAGAAGGAATCGGAGATCTCGTTCTGTAATTTGCAGGCGGTTTCTTTGTTTAGTAAGAAGCTGTGTAACTGCGCTGAAATCACATTCAGCCGCATAGGAAGTTGGAAACCTTTTAGAAATTTCCTTTTGTAGCCAATATTGAATAATTTTTGAGTATTTGAAAAAAAAAAGAATTGATAAATGTCTACACCTTCTTGAGCATGTTCACAACCAAACGTAATCAAAACTCCCAGTGCTTCTTTTCAACATAACAAAGCCTACAAGAGGCGGCTAGCGACCATCTTGGTAAAGACTGTTCTAGTTTATTCCAAGCAACTCGATTGTATAAACGCAGCATTACAGGGGAAATTGTCCTATTTTGCTAAACAAAAAGTTGTTATTCTACTGCATAACAATTCAAGGGCACACTACAAACTAAAACCCCGGGAGAAAAAAAGATCATTAGGATGGTAAGCCCGGAAATTTCTTCATACTCATCAGAATTAGCATCGGCAGATTTCGATATGTTTTGATAATTAGAACATTTCATAAATGGCAAAATATTCAGAAACAAAAAAGTTAAAATAGTTCTTCGGCCATTTTTTTTTTTTTTTTTTTTTTTTTAAGGAAACCCAGATTTTTTTAATCGAAAAATTGCCTTCCGGTTTGGTTGAAGTCGTTGAAAATAAAGCTAATTCCATAAATTTTTATAAATAATATTCATTATAAATTTCAAGGAATATTTATATCCTTCCTGCTTAAAGAATAATTACTTTCCGAATAGTATAGTCTATTAATATCAAAACGAAAATTACCGCAGCAAATGAATCAGCGGCTGAGGACGCCCGTTCGTGTTTTTACTTGTGCCCGCCTGCGTACGTGACTTTGTTCAGCTTGAATGTTCGTATCATTTTTCGTTCAAATTACCCATGTCCTGCCTCTCCTGACAATTGCGCTCAATCAATTCGCACTGGATGACTGCCTCTTAGACCACCTTCGCGAACTGGATCAACGGACGGATACTAACCTGACATTAGTGGTCAAATTGATCCTCAAGAAATAGACTGTAACTGACAGATTATCATCCCCTGATGGCAAAACTTTGATCAGTGAAATGCTAGACTTGTCCCCCGATGTGTTCGCATTCTCGCGACTCTGCGCTTCAATTTCATCGATGAATAACACGCTAATTGTTTTTCCAGCAGTGACGATTCCGAATCTCAGAAGTGATTCTCCCCGAGTGTAAGCCAATTGCTTTCATTAAATCAAAATATAGATAGATAGATAGATAGATAGATAGATAGATAGATATGAATAGACTAGAATAGATAGATGGATATGAATAGGTAGATAGATATGAATATACTAGGATAGAATAGGCTGGCATAGATAGATATGAACAGACTAGGATAGATAGATAGATAGATATGAATAGGCCAGTACAGATAGATAGATAGATAGATAGATAGATAGATAGATAGATAGATCTAGTTCCTATTTAAAAAATAAAAGGATATATTACGAGCTTAGTATAATGTTTTAATCAATAGAAAATGAATTCATCAATCTCAGAAATCAAAAATTCAATCTTTTAGCCAGTATATATGCACAAACACAAACTGCTAAATTCTGATTTAAATCTCTCCAATCTTAGTCACCAACGGCTTATATATGCTTTTCTACCCCTACTGGATCTGTTGAGGCATCATATATCGACAGCCGATTAATTTATATCAGACGGAAAGTTGAGAGAAAAAACTAACTCTATAAAGAAGAAAATTATTCACGCCTTATGTGACGTTTTGAATCCAAGGATTTTTTCTTTGATATCCGCCTTCGAAAACTCGTTACTTTTGACAGTAGATAGATAGATAGATAGATAGATAGATAGATAGATAGATAGATAGATAGATCTGAATGAGTAAACTTTAGAAATAATTCATGGAGTACCTCAAGTTTAATTAAGAACTAATCTATGTACGAGATGCCAGACAATATAAATGTCCACAGACGGCATGCACATAGACTTAACAGAAGCTTGAAAGCTTACCAAAGATTTATTATAATGTCTAGACGTACTCTCTCTCTCTCTCTCTCTCTCTATATATATATATATATATATATATATATATATATATATATAGTGTATTAGGGCAGCAATGAAAACGACTGACAAGGTTCTGTGGTTAGGATTTTATATAATTTCTAATAAATTATATAAAAATTGTCAGAATATTTTCCAATTGCTTTTGGCGATAATTTTAGCCGTTATCAAGGATGAATTTGATTTTTGATTTTACTTTAACTGAATATATGGTTTATTTTATGTAAGAATCTAGAGTTACAGTCAGTACATTGTGACCGTATTCATATTGGATATTATTGAGTGTTGCTTTTTCTTTTTATTCATAATTCTTCCATTCTTTTTAGCCTTTTTTGCATGTGGATGGGGGCTATTATATTTGTATTATCAACTAGTATGTTACAGATAGATCCATGTGTATATAAATAAGTCATAATTGAGCTTTGGTCAGAGGAATGTAACGTAAGTCTTCTTATTTAACATTTTATAGTATACCCTTATATATATAATATATAATTATTTCTATAAATTATAAATATAATTATTTACGAATTTGGATTTGGTCAGGAACACAGTTTCTTTAAGGGGGCGTGTGAATTCATAAATAATATTCGTTCTCTGTAATTTGGATTTTGCAGGTGAATTATTATTTTGACAATGAGGTAAGCAGTTTGAATTTTTTTATAATAAATAATTTAATTTTCTTGCTTTTTGTCAACTGGAGTTGTATATTTCTTTATAATGTTTCTAAGTTAAGAGATATATACATGCACACACACACACACATATATATATATATATATATATATATATATGTGTGTGTGTGGGGGGTATGTGTGTGTGCATACAAGGCGCTATACAAACATTCGGGTAATGTTACTTGAAAAAATTATTTGCTTTAGCACCTACATTCTTTCGAAGGATTATTCTTGGCCATATATATATATATATATATATATATATATATATATATAAAAATATAAAAAGAGAGAGAGAGAGAGAGAGAGAATAGATTAAATCCGACATATTGTAATTTTTAATTTATTTTGTGTAAACGTTATTTCTAAGGAATACTCATATTTGCGTAGAAGCTCTGTTTTTTAATTAAACAGTATTTTTTTTATCCAACTATATCTACCGGCCTGAATATTCGTGAAATCTTGCTAGAAAAATATGCGTCCTCCGTCAGGATTCGAACCTGCATCCCCTGACGTGCCTAGCCGTTCGGCCATGTTGGACTTCTGTTCAAACAAAGCCCGACTCGTGCCTTCTGAACACACATTTCTCTGCCGCTTCTCGAGACATCCATATCTACTCTGTATCGTATCCTTACGTAAACAAAGACAATTTATTTTTAGGAAATGGATTAAATCCGACATATTGTTATTTTAATTTATTTTGTTCAAATGTTATTTTTTATGAATACTAAAATTCGAGTTGAAGCATTTTTTTTAAAAATTAAACAGTATTTTTTTTTATCCAACTACATCAACCGTCCTGAATATTCGAGAATTCCAGTCGCTATTTCCATAGAAAAAGTTCTAACGAGTTATATACCTTAGTTCCAAATCTTCCCATCTGTGAACCGCCATGTCACATATGTCACAGCTTTTACCCAAGAACCGCTCTTTTGTGTTAGTCTAGAATCAACGGTTATCTTTTCTACATATCCGTATAATCTGAACTTCTTACCTTCTCCTCTTAAAATACTTAAGTCCCGAATTTATTTCGCACACAACTTAAGACGTACACTTAATGTTACCAATTGTATTTCTCCTAAGTATCTTATATTTATGGAGAAACTGCGTACCAAGGGAGGAGCAGATACTTCGCATGCCTGAACGCTCGGGCTTGCCAGCGGTTTACATCAAATACCGGGTGCTTTATATTCATCTCTTGTAAATAAGACCGTCGCCAGCTTTTATATGTGTATTTCTGACAGCTTTTACAAGCTAAGCAATATCTTTTGACGACAAGTCGATATGTGTCGATTAAAACAATCATTTTATTGTTGTTTTCAGACTCTCAGAAAGACAAAAAACTGATGAGATGACAACAAATCACTCCAATTGTGTGCGATTTAGTTTAGAACCGATTTACGAAAAAATGGTCGTAACAAAACGCCTTCGTAACGTTGACATAATATGCGTAGTGTTTTTGAAGAGTGCTCTGAGTGCATATGATCAAGTATTTTAGATACACAGTATGTAAACTTAGTGTGTTCTGAAAACAGAAGGAAGGACGATAAAAAGGTTGGAAGTATTAAAATAAACGTGCGGGGTTGAATTAGAGAAAGTGAATCAATTGTTTTTTGTTTTGTTTTTTTTTTTGTGGGGAGGGAGGGGTATCTTTTTAACGGATTTTCTGTCTGTTTTATTTACTGGAAAAATCATTAAGGATCAGTAATTGGAAGGAAACAGGTTTTTCAATACAGAATGTCACTTTTAAAATGCAAAGCGTGAAAGGAAGGAAAGAAGGAACTGAGAGAATGAGGGAGGAAGGGAGGAAGAAAGAGAGTGACGGACAAAGACCTGAAAAATGGAAGGAAGGAAGGAAGGAAGGAAGGAAGGAAGGAAGGAAGGAAGGAAGGAAGTAAAGATAGAAAATTTAGTGATGAAAGAAAAAGGAAGTATAAATCGAGATTATAACGAATGAAAGTGACGAAAGTAAGGAATGAATCCCAGAATATTATAAAACAGGAAGGAAGGAAGGAAGGAAGGAAGGAAGGAATGGAAAGATGGAGGCAGAAAAGAAAAAAGGAACAGAGTGACGGACAAAGAAATGGAGACAGGAAGAAGTAGATTTAGTCAGGAAAGAAGATGTGGGGAGATGAAGGATGAAATGAAAGAAGGAAGAGAGTGACATGCAAAGAAAAGTAAAGAGTAACAAAGGAAGGAAGGAAGGAAGGAACAAAGGAAGGAAGGTAGGAACAAAGGAATGAAGGAAGGATGGAAGGAAGGAAAGAAAGAAAGAAAGAAAGGAAGGAAGGAAGGAAGGAAGGAAGGAAGGAAGGAAGGAAGGAACAAAGGAAGGAACAAAGGAAGGGAGGAACATAGGAAGGAAGGAAAGAAGGAAGGAAGGAAGGATGGATAGAAGGAAGAAAGAAACAAAGGAAGGGAGGAAGGAAGAAAGGAAGGAAGGAAGAAAGGAAGAAAGAAACAAAGGAAGGAAGGAAGGAAAAAAGGAAGGAAGGAACAAAGAAAGGAAGGAAACAGGAAGGAAGGAAGGAAGGAAGGAAGGAAGGAAGGAAGGAAGGAAGGAAGGAAAGGAAGGAAGGAACACAAGGAAGGAAGGAGGAAGGAAGGAAACAAACAAACAAAGGAAGGAAGGAAGGAAAGAAACAAAGGGACGGAAGGAAGGAACTAAGGAAAGGAAACAAAGGAAGGGAGGAACACAGGAAGGAAGGAAGAAACAAACAAAGGAAGGAAGGAACAAAGGAAGGAACACAGGAAGGATTGAAGGAAGGAAACAAAAGAAAGGAAAACAAAACAAAGGAATGAAGAAAGGAAGGAAGGAAGGAAGGAAGGAAGGAAGGAAGGAAGGAAGGAAGGACGAAAGAAACAAACAAACAAAGGAAGGAAGAAAGGAAGAAACAAAGGGACGGAAGGAAGGAAGAATAGAGGAAGGAAACAAAGGAAGGGAGGAACACAGGAAGGAAGGAAAGAAGGAAGGAAGGGAGGAAGGAAGGAAGGAAAGAAGGAAGGAAGGAACCAAGAAACAAAGGAAGGAAGGAACTAAGAAACGAAGGAAGGAAGGAATGAAGGAAGGAATGAAGGATGGAAGGAAGGAAGGAACAAAGAAACAAAGGAAGGAACGAACGAACGAACGAACAAAGAAAGGATAGAAGGAAGGAAGTAAGAAAGGAAGGAAGGAAGGCATGAGGAAAGGTATGATATGGTGAAGTGATAGAATTTAAAAAGAAAAACGATGCTTAAAGAAAAAGAAAGAAAATACACAAGACAAAGATTTCGTTAAAAAAGAAAAAACTATCAACTTACGAATAGAAATGAAAAAGAAAGAAAGAGAAAATAATAAATGGGTGAGAATGAAGAATAAAATAAGATATAGCCTAAAAGAAAGAAAGAAAGAAAGAAAGAAAGAAAGAATAAAAGGTTAATTAATGTATAAAGCAAAAAAAAGGAAAAATAAAAAAAAATAACACTCAAAAGAAGAAATGATTTATTTTAAATCACAAAATAAACTTCGAAGCCTAAAATTTTAATAACACAATTCAGAAATTAAACCTAATGTTTTTTAAATCCTATTCACCCCCTCACTTTACCTCCCTCTTTCTCACAATCTTCTTTTTTCTCTTTCTTCCTCTTTTTGTCTCAGACTTTTCACTCTTTCTCTATTTCTGTTTCTCCCTATTCTTTCTTTGTCTTTCTCTCCCCCACTTTCCCACTCTCTCTATTGATTCATTATCGTCCTAAATTACGATCAATTAAAAAGCAAACACGCTGTAAAGCAACATTTTCCTATAGCAGAAAAAAATCCCTAATTTTGTTTTCCTTCCTTTTCCTCTCTTCCTAATTATTGTCTTTCGGATGCCTATAAAATGAGAATTGCCTTTGAAGAACTCTTCATTATCGCAATCATCGGAGCCAGTTCTTAACGATATGCTTTCTTGAATCCTTCACGATGAAAAGAGCATTACTCTTGCGAAATCAACTTAGAGTAGATACATTTGCGATTGGATCAAAAATCCTCTTCACTGTTTTTTAAGGACATCCTAATTAAGGTTTCCTCTTTATATTCTAAGGTTTGAAGTGCTTTAGTTACACGTCTCCTAATAATTACCAACGCAGGATCGTGTCGACTAGAAGATCCTTGGGTAGATGCCGTCAAGAAACTGAAGTGAATATCATGGTTTTTAGCTACGAGTATTTTATACGGACAAGATCGATAATAAAAGATTTACCAGGGGCTGCGCTGTCTATTCAATGGCTCTCTACTCCTTCAGCTTATGAATCATTAGCTTTTTTATAAATTATAAAATGTTGAAGAGAGAAAAAGCAGAAAAGAAAAGCCAGGGGAGGTGGGAAGAATAAAGAATGATAAAAAAAATGTTTAAAAGACGTAAAATAAGAATGATTATGAATTATTAACTCAACAGGAATTGACTTGACTTTGTTTTTTTGAAATGGCACGGGAATGGTTAAAAGAAAGAAAGAAAGAAAGAAAGAAAGAAAGAAAGAAAGACAGACAGACAGAAAAGAATAAATGATAAAGGAAAAGGCAAAAATTAATGTGGTTAAAAGAAAGGAGGAAAAAAAAGAAAAAGGAAAAGATGTGGAAAAAATCCAAAATCTTATGTGGCAAAAGAAAGAAAGAAAGAAAGAAAGAAAGAAAGAAAGAAAGAAAGAAAGAAAGAGCGAATGAAAGATAGAAAGCGTGACTGAGAAGAAATGGCACGGGAATGGTTAAAAGAAAGAAAGAAAGAAAGAAAGAAAGAAAGAAAGAAAGAAAGAAAGAAAGAAAGAATTGATGATAAAGCAAAAGACAAAAATTAATGTGGTTAAAAGAAAGGAGGAAAAAAAAGAAAAAGGGAAAGATGTGGAAAAAATCCAAAATCTTATGTGGCAAAAGAAAGAAAGAAAGAAAGAGCGAATGAAAGATAGAAAGCGTGACTGAGAAGAAAGAAAGAAAGAAAGAAAGAGCGAATGAAAGAAAGAAATAAATAAATAAAGAAAGAAAGAAAGAAAGAAAGAAGGAAAGAAGCAGAAGTGAAAAAGAAAGTCAAAAACGACTGCTGAATAACAATGTCTGATAAAAGAAAGAAAGAGCAAGAGAAAGAAAGAGAATCATTGATAAAAGAAAAATGTAAATGAAAGCGAGCAAAAGAAAGAAAGAAAATGAAAGAAATGTAAAATAAAACTGTGACAAAAAAGAAAGAAAGAAAAAAAAAGAAAAACATTTCAAATACGTGACAAAATAAAGAAAAATATGAAAAAAAACTAAAAGATGAAAAAAAAATGGAAATGGGAAGAGAAAGAAAGAATAAAAATGAATGGTAAAAGAAAGAAAAATGAAAGTATTAGAAATAAAAAAAATATTTATAAAAATGGAAGATATAAAGAAAGAGGAAAAACTTTAAAATCCGATGTAAAAAGAGAAAGAAAAAAAAAGAAAGAATGAATGAATGAGGAAATAAATACAGTGGAACCTCGGTTCACGAATTTAATTCGTTCTTGAAGCTTGTTCGTAACCCGAAATGTTCGTAAACCGAAACTATTTTTTTAATAGAAAGCAATATAAAATAGATTAATTCGTTTCTGGTCTCAAGATGATTGCTTATTTAAACTTTAACAACAGTTCTTCGTGCACAAGTTTATACACAAAACTAATGAAAATCATTAAATATAAGAAAAGTATAAACCCAATACTAAATAGATAGAATATAGACGACCACTTTAATTTTACCATACGTGCATGTAGGAGATTTGATGGCGTAAGTCGGAGACTCTCACCGCGCACGGTAGGAACTGAATTTTTAATGCATAAACATTACTGGCTACCAGAGGTCGCAATTCATAGTGAAGAGTTTATTATATATATATATATATATATATATATATATATATAGCTGGCGACTCGTATTCGAAGATACACGTCTACTAGGGTGGCTAGCCAAACCCAATTGCAGACACTTGCTCAGGCGAATTTGTGTTCGTTCAACACCAACAGAGCCCATCTGTGCTTTATACAGCAACTTAGCTATGTTGGTGCGCGGTGAGAGTCTCCAACTGATGTCAAATTGATCGGGTGTCTAGCAACACTGATGAGTTTTGAAACAGCGAAGCAGTCTGTCTGTGGATGACTATATATATATATATATATATATATATATATATATATGTGTGTGTGTGTGTGTGTGTGTGTGAGTGAAAAGTGTGTGTATATAAATATAAATATATTTAATATATAAATAAATATAATTAATATAAATTAATATATTAAGAAATGGACAAGGTCCGACAATTTATTTATTAAAGACATATTTTTATGTTTAACGTTGTTATTTTATAGATACAAGTATTTAAGCAAATGCTCTGTTTATGATAAACAGTATTAAATAACATTTACTGGCCTGAATGTCCGAGAAATTTTCATAGAAAATATTCGTCCTTTGACAGGATTCGAACCTGCATCCTATACGGAACCGTCATATACGCTGACGTGCCTTACCGCTTGAGCTACAAAAGAACCAATCGGAAGACAAGGTCGAATTTACTGCTTATAAACTATTATATTTATTATTTTTATATAAAATAACAACGTTAAACATAAAAAAATGTCTTTAATAAATAAATTGCCGGACCTTGTCCATTTCTTATTTATGACGTCATTTGTTTTACATTCGATAACAACAGTTAAAATGTAAAAGATTAAAAAAAAATGGAGTTTATAAGCAGTAAATTCGACTTGTCTACCGATTGGTTCTTTTGTAGCTCAAGCGGTAATATATATAATTTCCGTATATTATATTGCAGGTTCGAAATATATTTAATACGAATATTTTCTATGAAAATTTCTCGGACATTTGCCGGTAAATACTTGTACTGTTTAAAATAAACAGAGCAACATAAAAAATATGTATCTTAAAAAACAACGTTAAACATAAAAATATGTCTTTAATAAATAAATTAATATATAAATAAATATATATATTTAATATATTATATGTGTGGTACTTATTAGATAGCACTCAATATCAGAGATAGAGCTAACATATTTGGTTGGATCGATGTGAGTTTGAACCTGGGTTTCACGTTTCAGGTCTGACGATCGCAAAAAAGCGTGAAACCCAGGGTCACAAACTTACATCAATCCAACCAATATATATATATATATATGTAAATATATAATATATATCTGGATAAAAAACAAAAGGAAAACTTTTCTTTACCAATGTGTTTCGTCCTCTGATGAACTTTATCAAGGTAAATATAAGGATTTTATTTTACGAAACCTATTTTGTAAACAGAAGTAAAAATGGCGGTAGGTCTTCAAAACTTATAAATTAAGAACGCTCATGAATATTCTTTGATCTAAAGAATGCCACATTTATTAAAAAGAAGATAATTCAAGCGGAAATTTTTTGAGATTGCCGCTATCGGATCTTACCAAAATATAAATCTATGCTCTGAATTATTTCAAATATCATTTGCTAAAATATGTAAGCCAACATCAGTCAGTTATGTGCTATGCGTGATCTTTCGATATATGACTGACGAGGCAGATTTTTTCCCGCGGTAGTTTGCCATTTCTTTCTGTAGTAGACCAGTTGCCATCCAAGGCTATAGAACCTTGTCCGTGCAGGTATTTACCCATAGCTGGGAGAGTATTAGCACGTAAATAAATGTAATGGATTCATTAAATTCATGCGTTACCATAATTATATATATTTTTTTTTTAATTTAAAGACAATTGTTAAATTCAAAACTTTCCATTATTTAAAATAAATACATAAGTTTTTCTATCAAATTAAAATAAATAATAATCATATGAAAATGTCAACAATATCATTTACTGACTTTAAAATTATATCACTTCGAATCCTCCATAATTTGCCTTTACTTACACTTTGCATGAGTATTCTTAAAGTTAAAAATCTGAAAATTTAACATTTTTTTTACATTTTTTCTTTTTGTTTATAAATAGTTTTTTTTTCAAAATAAAATCTTTACATTTGTCTTGGTAAAGTCTTTCAGAGGACGAAACGCGTTGGTAAAGAAAAGTTTTCCTTTTGTCTTTATTCATATATAAAAAGTCGCTTATTCCTTTTTTTTTTTTTTCACGCTAAAGATTAACATTGTTATTATCTCTTTTATTTATTTATTTATTTGTTAAGAATCTAGTGGTCTTAAAAACTTGGA